CTTTCACAAGCCAGGAAGCAGCACCCCTTCAAGGCTTCTACATCAGTCCTGTCTCCAGGATCCTGCCCTGTTTAAGTTCCTGTCTTGACTTCTTTCAATGATGAACAGCAATATGGAAGTATAAGCCAAATAAACCTTTTCCTCCCCAGTTTGATTTTTGGTCATGGTGTTTTATTGCAGCACTAGAAACTCTAACTAAGATAATCTTTTTCAAATTTATGGCCCCTTTTTCTTTAATTGTTGTTACATAAATACAGTCTATTTAGTATGTACAATGTTACTGGTATGTACGTTTTCAGGGATGACCACTTTGTATTGGATATTTAATTGGTGTGTTTTTCTTGGGAAGATTATTTCTCCCTAAGTCTTGCTCAAGAAGAGGAAATTATTTCTGGTACTTAGAACCTAACCATACACCCAGGACTACTAAAGGCATGGATCTTGAGGAGAACCTAGAACTGCCAGCATCAACCCTAATTACATTTTAATTACATGTCCTTATTACCCACAGGTAAGTGTAGGCCTCACACCTTATCAAGGAAAGTTCTCTGCAGTAGATGGAGACCATTTCAGAAGACTAAAACTAATAAAACTACAGAGTTGTGAAGTCCAGTCCCCAGGGATACATGTACACCTAGAACACAAGGATCATTGTGAAAGAGGGAGCAGGAAGGTTTTGGGTTTGTTTTGTTTTTGTTTGTTTAGATTTATTTATTTATTTGTTTATTTATTTATTTACTTGGGCTTTTAAAGACAGGGAAGATTTTAGTAGCCAGAAGAACAGGAAGTTTCTGTGAGATTGTTTCTCCTAGAAATGTCAAAAAATATACCCATAAAAGCTCATTAACATGTTTGCCTAAATATGAACTGAACAAACAAGACACCAATAGACATGCTTCTGTGGGTGAAGGAAAGGTCATGAGACTTCTACCCTAGCCTTGAAGCAATAGTCTCCCAATTGAGCTTTATCTCTATTTCTGAGTTTCAGATGGCTGACTTTACAGCTCCCTTTCTCACTGCAAGCACATTCTAACATCTTGATATAACAATAGTAACATTTGTTGGAGATGTCTTAGTCCCAAGCTGTTTATCAAAGAATACAATGTTTTAAAACTTGGGCTGTTTTTCTGTTCTCTTCCTTTTCTAACAGAGTTAAAGTAGGGCAGCTCACTCCCAAACATGGTCCCTCAAGGACAAACGTGTTTAGTTGTAAAATGTCAAGGATAAACACCCTACTAGAGCCAGTTTCTTGGTGAGCTCAAGGAGCACATGGCAATTTATAAATATAAGGTACATTAATATAAAACAAGACAAATGGGATTATCAGAAACAAAAAAGATGAACAGCAAGTGAATCAAAAAGTGACTGGGAGCCCGGAGTTGGTGGTGCACGCCTTTAATCTCAGCACCTGGGAGGCAGAGGCAGACGGATCTCTGTGAGTTTGAGGCCAGCCTGGTCTCCAGAGCAAGTGCCAGGATAGGCTCCAAAGCTACACAGAGAAACCCTGTCTCAAAAATCCAAAAAAAAAAGTGACTGGGAGATGATTTCCAGATGGGAAAATGCTTGCAAACTGTAATTGTTAGAAGAATACAAAAATTAAATAAACTACAAAAATTCAACACCAAATACCTGGTTTTAAAAAGTTCAGTAGTTGTACATATATTCTCAAAACAGTGTATAAGTGGCTAAGAGATGAATAAAAAAATGATCAACCTAAACAATCAACAGAGAATTACAAAGCAGAAGTCTAATTTTTCTTAACTGATGAATGAATGAAGACTATGTGGTATTAATATACAGTGGAACACTATTTACCTCAAAACATGAATGAAATTATGCCACTTATAACAATATTTTGAAATTAATGATTATTCTAGGTGAAGCAAACTAGGCACTGATGGAGAAGCACTGTATGTTCTCATTGATATCTGGAAAATTCAAAAATTGATTGCACAAAATGTGAGAATACAATGGTAGTTACTGGTAGCTGGGGATAGCATGTATAGAATTGTCAATCTGATGAATGGTTACTGTGATGGATATTCTTAATTGCTAATGTGACTGGATTTAGAGTAACTATGGCTATATATTTCTAAGTGTGTCTATAAGAGTTCTTCCAGAAAAGTTTCATTGAAGAGGGAGGACAGATCCACAGTGTGGATGGTGCTAATCCCATGGGCTGTAGTTCTGGATTAAATAAAAAGAAGATAGTGAACTGAGCTCCAGAGTCTTTCTCTCTGTTTCCAGACTATAGATGCAATGTGACCAAGTGCCTCATACTCCTGCTGCCATGACTTTGTCATTATGGTGGGCTGTTTCCTAAAACCATTTGCCAAAATGAACTCTTCCTTCCATAAATTGCCTGCATCAGATTATTGTGTCACAGTTATAAAATATTAATACAGATACTAATTCTAATTGACAGCTAAATAGGATTAAAGAATTTTGGTTTGTTTTCACACAGTAAAAAAAAGTACCTATGGCAATAGGTATCTTATATTTCAAAAGTCTAGACGAATTTTAGATGTTTTCACCATAAAGGAATATTAACAATTGAAAATATGTTTAACATTATTTTAGAATTTTAATTTATGTAGAGAATGAAAGAGAATTATGATACTCTATAACGGTAGAATTTTTAAAAGAGATTTATTTGTTTTTATCTGTGTGTAGGTGTGTGAGCCTGCTTGAGCACATATGCATCATCGTGTGTGCAGGAGCCCATGGAGGCAAAAAAAAAAAAAGTTTTCTGATAGTCTGGAAATGTAATTACATGTGTTTTGACACACAACATGGGTTCTAAGAACTGAACATTTGTCCTCCACATGAGTAGTAAGCACTGTTAATGGCTGAGACTTTTTTTCAACCCCATATGCATAGTTGTTATGCATAAGAGAAAATAAACTCTATTATACACATACACACAAAATGTTTCTATGAAATTGTAAATTATATTAAAGACATAGTCATTTCCAGTAGCATAAACTATATAAATATCGAAAACTCATCTCATTTTTAAAATATATTATGCAAAATAAATTATAACAAAACTTCTTCTGAGGGAACAGGTGTGCTTAAAAGAATAAATCGTTAAACTGGCTAGATGGCTAAGTAGTTAAAGGTGATGATTTGAGTTCTAGCCCCACAACCCACATTGTGGAAAGACAACCAGTTTTAACAAGTGATCCTTTGACCTCCACACATACAAACCAGCACATGCACCCCACAGATATAAGTCAACAACAACAAAAAAAAGAAAATTGAATAACATTAATGTTTCCTCTCATGTGGCAGGTTAAGAATAATTCATAGTTTAGGTCCTTAATGGGTTCTTATAAAATTATGAAAGTGAAATTATTACTATTTAATATCTTTTATGTTTTCCTATGCTATGATTAAGAGATCAAACACACACACACACACACACACACACACACACACACACACTATTTTAGCCTTATCTCAGTAGTGCTGTGGGGCATTAAGCTATTGTTGTCAAACACATATACAACACAATGCCCTGTTTCACAGCCAAATCTACTGTCTGTGGCAATTCTTGCTGTCCTTGAGAACACTCACTTAACTAAATTATTCTCACTATGGATATCAGAATCTGGGAAGCAGTGGGGAAAAAAGAGTAGTCAAGAAGCAAGACTGGAAAAACAAAAGGTCCTATTCGTGGGCATGAAATGTGAGAGCCTTCTAAGGAACGCTAGGTTTATAAAGCAATACATTTGAAGCTTGATAATCGAACAGTTTTCAACACTTATACCAGATATTGACATCATGATGTGATTTTAATGTCTCAGACTTACAGTTTTCTGTGGTGAGGGATAGCCTTGCAGATATGTAATGTTGGGAGCATAGCAGGAAGGGCCTTGTGCCCACAGAGCTCCAGAGAAACCAGGAATGTTAAGCAAACAGGATTGTCTTTCCAAAGGGATAGTTGAAAAACCTGTTCTTCCATCCAGAAAGCTGAGAACTGGAAGTGATTAACAGCCTGGCGATCTGTGTTATCTGTTGGCCAGGACTTATCAAGTTCTTGCACCCAGGTGGGGGGTTAGCTGGTAATCTAAATGACCCTGATAGCCAGAGGCTGCCGAACGCCCCCACAACTAGGACCAGGGCTGGCTAACAGCCCAAATGACCTCTATGCTATCTGTATGACAGACCCTTAGGCCATTAAGCTAGTACAAGCAGCCTATCTCTAGAATCCATCTTCTTGGAGGGAATGACATGTGCCCTGAGTTGAGTTTCAATATATTTACACATACTTGTGCAATGGAGAAACTTTTTTCTAAACTATACTGGCCTTAAGTACATTGGGAGTAAATCACCTGTCATTAGACTCCCTGAAGTCTGAACCAGGTTGACAAAGTCAATCTGCATCATGTTTTCATTCTTATGTCTTTGTGGGGTTCACTTCACTGTATGACACCTGCAGGCCATCAATATAACTTGTGCAGTAAAGTAGGATTATATACTGAGAAAAGTTTGTCCTTCACTTAAGAATCACTTGGTTCTACATTTGAAATTCTTACCTTTTTATCTCTGAACTTGTGTTTCCAATGGGAAATTTGATGAACAATGTAACACAAGCATGACTATCAGCTTAGACCTGGGATGTGGAGGAGTTTATCAACTGGCAAAGGATTGAGCTCTTTTTCAGCAACAGTGACACAGCATTAATAGTCCCAGTAAAGCAAAGGTTTCACTTCCACAGATTCTTTATCTGAAGTATCACAGAAGTTTTGCTTCTCTTCAAATCTTCACCTGAGTTTTTCCTCAGCATTATTTACCAAGTTTCCACGACAGTTCAATAAGCTCCAAGTACTCAATGGCTTTTCTAACCTAAAGCTTCAAAATCTCCCACCTTCTTACCACAAAACAGCCTGTGGCCTAGAAGTTACAAGGTTAGATTCAAGCACAGCAACATGCCATGTTGCTGGTACCAATTTCTGCTCAAGTTTACTTCTCTTTTGTTGTGATAAAATACTCACCAAAACCAAGTTTGAGGGGGAAAGGTTTTGTTTCATTCCACACTTCCAAGTGATATTCCATCATGGAGGGATGCCAAGGCAGGAACATGGAGTCAGGAACTAAAACATAGACCTTGGAAGAGTGCTAATCACTGACTCACTTCCTCTAACTTGCTCAGCTACTCTTCTTATACTGCCAGGCCCATGACACTGCATAAATTCTCCCCTCCCTCTAATCAGCATTAAAGAAAATTCCACACAGGCATGGCCACAGGTAAACCTAATGAGGGCAAGTCCTCAATTGAGAGTCCATTTTCCCAGGTGTGTCAAGTTGACAAGCAATATTAACTATCACACTAACTTACTGAAATTTATGGGATGAAGCAAAAGTAAAACCATAAGGAAAGCTTTTATTGAAAAAAAAAAACAAACAGTCCATTTTAAAAAAGGAAAATGGTCACAAATACACAAATTAATATTAAACCTTAAGGAACTAAAAACCAAAATGTAAGAGTCATATAATCAGAAGGTAAACTGCCCAGAAATAAATTAGAGAACATAAAATCAATGGAATAAGTCAACAAACTAAGAGATATTTTTAAATGAGAAATGAGACTCATAATTGGTGTAAGAGAAAAGACAGTCTACATATAAATACAAAGAAATGAACGAGAAGCCATTGCAGTGTCAAAGAAATAAAGATAAGGGAATACTACCATTTGGAGATTCTAGAAGGCATACATTTTGAAGAGAAAAGTTGCCAAGATTGAATAATGAAGAAACAAAATGCCCCGTGATACAAAAACAAAACAAACAAACCAAAAACTATCAAGAAATTGATACAATTGTGAATATGCTCCAAAAAAAAGAGAAATGCCAAGGAATAAATGGCTTTGTATGTGAATTGTACCAAATATTTTAAAAGAAATGCTAACAAACTTTAACAAACTCTTCCACAAATTAGAACAAGAAACACCTATCTTATGAAGATATGAAAAAATTCACTCCAAGATATTGAATTAGGCAAGAAAAACTGGTTTTGTCCAAATCTTATTTTTTTAAAACACAAAATAAAATGTAAGATAAAACAAAAACATAATATTGAAGTTGGGCAAGACAAACCAACAGAAGGAAAACAGCCTCAAGAGAAGGCACAAGAATCAGAGACCCACTTGTTTACACATTCAGGAGTCCCAGAAAAATACTAAACTGATAGCTATAATGTATATGCAGAAGACCTTGTGAAGATCTGTGTAGGTCCTGTGCTTGCTGCTTCAGTCTCTTTGAGTTCATATGAACTTTGATCAGGTTGATTTAGAGCAATGTTTCTCAACCTGTGGGTGGTGATCCCTTTGGCAAACCTCTCTAAAATATTTACATTATGATTCATAACAGTAGCAAAATTACAGTTATGAAGTAGCAATAAAAATAATTTTATGCTTGGGGTCATAGTGTTAGGAAAGTTGAAAGTTGAAAATTAATGCATTGATTTAATGGCTCTTGTTCTCCTGGTGCCCTCCATCCCCTCATCCCTTCTAGCTCTTCCTCTTCTTTTCTGAGCTCTGATAGGAGATCTGATGGAGACACCCAATTTAGAGCTTCTCTCTGTGTGTGTCGTGTGTGTGTGTGTGTGTGTGTGTGTGTGTGTGTGTGTGTTTGTCTGTGTGTGTGTCTGTGTCTGTGTCTGTGTTATGTCTGTTTGTGGGTCTCTGTATTCTTCTTTGCTGCAAGAAGAAGCTTTTCTGATGACTGAATAAGGCACTGATCTATGAGTAAAGTGGAATAGCAGTAGGAGTCATTTCATCATTGCTTTTTAAAGACCAAGAGTATTTGGTTTCATCTTAAATCTCTGGGCTATATTGTCTCGGGTTCTTGGTCACCTAAGCAGTGTCTGATATGAGTTCCAGCTCGTGGAGTGGGCCTTAAATCAAATCAGACATTGATTGGTTACTCCTACAAGCTTTGTGCCACCAATGCCCTAGCATATTTTGCAGGTAGAACAGCCTTGTAGATCAAAGGTTTTGTGGTTGGGTTGTTATTTATATTTCTCTTTTGGTGGCCTGCAGAATACATCCACATACCAAAGAATTAGAGGGTTGGGGTGGGGTGAAGGTTCTATGTAGGCACCAGCTCTACTTCTCCATGTTCAATGAGTTATATGGGTATTGTCTTCAAGCAACAGAGCCTTGCTGTGAGTTGGTGAGTAGCAACCTATTGTCTATGACAAGACAATCTTAGTAAGACAGCGAGGTTGTTAAGTATCACATTGCTGAATTTGAATACATATTGTAAAGTCTAGTAATCATAATACTGTATTTCTGAACACAGATGATAATATAGAGTATTGAAACCTAATGGAAAGCCTGGAAATAAATTTACACATATATAATCAGCTGAATTAAAACAAAAGATACTACAAGTACAATGAAGACAGGGAAATGCACTTTAAAATAATTCTGAAAAATTACATATCAATATATAAGATCATTAAATTATATATTTATCTTATGTCATGCAAAAAACAACTAAAATGCAACATGCTTAAACATAAAATCTAAAACTATAAAAATCATAGAGGAAAATGTGAGAGACAACTTTCTAAATTGCTCAGTGTGTAAAGGCACTTGATGCCAAGTCTGGTGACCTGAATTTGTTCCCTGGATCATACATTGTAAGGAAGAGAACCAAGTTCTCCTTTGACTTCCACATGCATGCCATATTATGGGCATGCACACACACACATACACACAGTAAATATAATTTAAAAATTAAAATAGTTTTTTATCAATGACGTTTTTATATATAATACCCAAAGTACAGGCAACACAAGTAAAAAAATGCAAGCAGAAACCACAAAATAAAAGCTACTAAACAGCAATTCAAGAAATCAACAAATTAACTGTCCACTTATGAATTGAGAAAAAATATTTTCAAACTATATCTCTAACTAAGGTTCAATATACAAAGTACAATGCAGCTCACACGAATCAATAACAGTAAATAAATACCTGTTATCAAAATGATGAAGGTAATTTAAATATTAGTTTCATTAAAGAACATGTAAATATGCCTCCAATTGTATGAAAAGTTTTTTAATATCACTAATCATCAGACAAATCTAAAACACAATGAGATAGCACATCATACTTGTTAGAACAGCATATAAAGAAAGGAGAAGACCAACTCCACAAAGTTGCCCTCTGAACTCTATGTGTGTATTATTGTAGCATAAGCATACATGCACTCACACTTAACATACAATAAAAATATTTTTATTTTATTAAAATAATAAGTAAAATGTTTTTAAAGTAGTCTAGAAATCAAACTCATACTTTTATAGTTTATGGCAGGAGTTCTCTAGAGATATAGTGTGAAAGAGGAGCTGCTTGAAAATACAGTAGAAATAAACACACAGATACATAATACAAATATTAAATGTTTTAATATTTAAATAAAACAGTTATACTATATCTCCAGAGAGTCAGGGAACATTATGGAGGGGTGAAATGGGAAAAATGAAAGAGACAAAGATAGGGAGAAAATAGCTGCAACACATCGTCTTCTGGGCAAAAACAGCCATTGCAAGAGCAAACAAAACAACTGGGACTCACAAGAATGGGTTAGTCTACAGTCATATGCGAATGGAAGAGGCTCGGGGGCCTCTAGCCCTCTCTGATGGACTATTGGCTACTGATAGATTCTGGGAGAGGCAAGACTCATTGATTTCTCTCATCTACTTGCCGGTGAACTTATCAAATTCTGGTGAACAGTCCCAAATTGAATATCATGCAGACAGCCTAATTCAACTCAGAGAGTCACAAACCAAAGCTAAAAGACATGAATCTGAGAAAGGAATGTATAGAGAAGGGAGAATGAAGGGTGAAAAGAATGAAAGGGATATATGAGGGTGTGGAAAAGAGTAGTTTGTATGCTTTGTACACATTATTAAATTGTCAAAACAAATATTAGATAACATTGAATTTACAATAACTTCAAACATCTATCATAAACTTAATATGATATTTTACATGGAACAATTTAGAAGCACATGAAAACTTCTGGAAGTTTACACATCAATGAGATTTTGCAGTGATAATAAAATTTCCTTTTATTCTAAGTAAAATAATTGATAAAGTAGAATTTATCAACATCAAAGACTTGTTTTTAAGGGACTGTACTAAAAGAGTGAAAAAGACATCTCATGAAATGAGATTATTTTTACATAATACATCTAATAAAAATCCTTAACATGGTGACCTTACAAAATTCTAGTAGGACAATGTTATAATTAACTCAGCAATAAATATTTAACTACCCTAATTAAAATAGTGAACAAAGAAATTGAACCCACATCTGTACAAAGGAGATATAAAATGGCTAATTAGCACATGAAGTTTTCTCAGCATTGTTTGTCAGAGTAATGCAAATCAGAATATCAGATTCTACCTCTCTTAAGGTAGTAGACAACTCCAAGAAACAAATGTTGAATATATAAATATATTCATAGATCAGTACATTATTCATCCATCATCAGAGAACACACAGCTCTAAATGGGATGTCTCCTTCAAATCCCTCCCCTCAGAGCTCAGGGATCCTCAATGGAAAAGGAGGAAGAGCCAGATGGTATGAAGGATACCCGGTGAAAGGGTCCCTCTGAATTAACTGAGCAAATTCATATGAACTCACTGAGACTGAAGCAGAAAGCACAGGACCTGCATGGGTATGCACCAGGTCCTCTGTGTATGGATTACAGATTTATTTAGAGTTTTTGTGGGACTCCTGACTGTTTAAATGAGTGGTCTCTGATTCTTATGCCGTCTCTTGGGGCTTTTTTCTTTCTATTGGTTTGCCTTGTCCAGCTTCTGAGATCAGATGAAATCAGGCCTGTTCAGGGTGGTATGGATATAGGCTCCTTGTCCAACTTCAATGTGATAGTTTTTTTTTATCTTGTTATATTTTATTTGGTTATGTTTCATTGTTATCTCTTGGAAGCCTTCTCTTTTCTAAATCAAGACAGAAAGGGAGAGGATTCAGATGGGAGGGGGATGGGATGAATCTAAGAGGAGTAGAAGGAGGGGAAACTAATCAGGATTACATTATATGAGAAAAGATTCTGTTGCCAATAAAAGGGGAAAAGCAATTCCAAAATTAGAGTCCATAGCGGTGGAGCAAAAGCATGGCAGCAGGAACATAACTGAGGCCTCAAATCTTAAAAGGTCGAAGCAGGAGGCACAAAGTGTACTGGGAATTGCCTGAAGCTTTTGAAACCTCAAACCTACTCACGGTGACTAAGTACTTCCTCTGCCAAGGACATAC